AAAATTGACATACATGAATTAAATTTATATGCCAAAATGTAGTTTTAAATTCGGCTATTGCTGATTATTTTTATTTTTATTCATTGCATGGGAATTTCAATTCCTGGAAGATGTAGTTTTAAGCCAATGCCCTGTATTGGAGGTCATTTTTACTGTGGGCTTAATCATATTTATCCTGACTCATTGTCTCATTGTTTTAAACTATACCTAATTTCTCAAATATGTTATGGAGGCATATAATATTTTTCCTGATATTGATTCTACCGCTACAGTTTGTTTCATATGTATGCTTCCTATTTCAATAGTATTTTGTTATTTTCTTATAAACTTTCTCTGCTACATAGGAACTGACTTTATATTGTTATATCTTTTATTCAAGTGTTTATATTGTTAAATCAGTTTTTAGAGAAGTTAAACAAGAAAGATTCTATAAGTCATCAGGTATGGACATGACTCATTCTGATCTTAGGAATTAGACAAACCACACTGGAGTAAGACAAAGTCACAGGTTCAGACACAGGAACTGAGGAAGAATGTGAACATAAGCCAGCTGAGGTTTGAGACAGATTTGATGAAGATATGGCTAAGGGACAGAAGAAGCACATGATACCAATTAGAGTCTATGGTTGAAGAAAAATAGTAAAAAGAAAGCCAAAACAGAGAATTAAGAGAGAGAATGATATTTGAGAATAGTTGTTTTGATTGATAAAGAAGTTTTGTGGTTCTTGTACATACAAGAGTCGTTACAAGCAGACAAAGAGATGCATTTTCTAACTGACCAACTAATCACTAACTTCCTAATGAACTTTCTAACACACTTGTACATATTCAGTTCAGAATTGTAGTGTTTCTGACACTTCAGCATACAGTACGAATAAACTGAGGTACCATCATAAACTCTATGGCAAGGAATCCCTACTTTCTGATCAATTTTATTACTAGTAGAATTCATATTACTTTTATTTTATCAGAGCAAAAATGTATTTCAATTTAAGTTTTGCCTATTTTGTGTATTAGAAAATAGGTTTATTTAGTAGTTTGGATTGATCAATCTACTTTTCTTCTTTCGAGTATTTCAAGACTGAGATAACTATTAATCATATATTAACAGGTTCATGGGTTTGTTCAAGACAACAGTGATCATTTATAAAGATCAAGCACCTAAGCATATGTTAACTAGATACACATATCAAATCACTAACTTTACTACTCCATCTACAACCAATTCAAACTCCTATCCATCACCTTATCCTATAGCCTCATATCTTATCACCAAAATGAATCAACTAATTGTATTTCTCCAATTTCTTTCAACGATCCACTTGTTACTCGAGTCATACCTAGTTTTTCACTACTAGGAGTAATCTCACAAGTCATACTTAAATCCCTAATTTGAGTCCAAAGATCCATCTCTCTAATCATAAGGAAAAATATAAAGGTTTCCTACTCAAAACCTCGGTTACCACAATGGCTTGGCCAAATAACTAATAAAATTAAAATCTTATTCCTTAAAGATTTCCAACTATCTCTTTTGGTCAAATAAGTACTTAAGGTTTTTATGGTTTCTAAAAACCTCAAATCTAGATCCAAACAAGTAATGTCTCCACAACTTAAGAACAAATACTACTGCAGTCAATTCAAGATCATGGGTAGGGTAGTTCCGTTTATGGGTTTTCAATTGCTCAAAATTATAAGCTACTACATTTCCTTCTTGCATCAATACTCCTCCCAAACCTATTTTTAGAAGCATAACTATATACAATAACTAGTAGTATTTAACACTAGTCAATCTTTCCTTAAGAGTTTGAAACTACTCTTCTTATTTGTTATCCCATAGTAAGGCAACTCATTCCTAGACAATTCAGTCAATAGTAAGTGACGAAATGCTTTGGGTGGTTGAAAAATAAACTTAGGTCCAGGAATTCCTGATATAGATTAACCTTTTAACCTTTCAAACTATTGTTGAATCTATGGGTAGGCAAGAGACAACCTACATCTTAGTAACCAGAGGAAAGAAAGCAAAATGATTCCTGTAGTAATGACGAGAAAAATGGGAGCAGTTTAAACCGTGAACAACTATCTTAAAGATTTACTCAATAATTTTTCCTATAAACTATCAAATAAAACTCCTAATTTTACTAATTGACTCAGGTATCTCTCACTTAAGCACAACTTCTACCTTAGATAGATCTACATTATACCTCCGCAAGAAATTTCATAGCCTAAAAATACTCACCTCATACAATCCAAATTCATACTTAGACAATTTAGTCTAAACCTATATTGAATATATCTTCACACTTAATTCTAATATGATGATCTCACATCCTAAGGTCAAAACCTCTTATTAACACAAACATCCACTAATTGATCCATAAGGTCATTTATTCTCATATCCACATACATGCATATCAAATCATATTAGAATACCTCCTTCACATATATCATTCCTAAGCATGTATGAATTGATCATCGTTTACACCCTATAGCCTGTACATGAACCACATTGTTTCTGATGACGTCCTTATTTCAAATGTACTTGTTCATTTAAGGTTTGTTGACGAGGCTTAGAGTAGATAAAAGGGAGAAGAGAAATGAAGTAGAAAAGTGTATGGCATTAAAATAGAATTTTCAATTTACACGTGCCCCTTTAACAAAGCTCGAAGGCCCGGGCATGCCCCGAGTTCGTGATTCATACACAGAGAGATTAACCGAGGTTGCCCCCTAGAGAGGCATGGTTGACGATTGGTTGAACTACGTTAAGAACGCATTCTCACTCGCTTGAATGTGGGTGTTTTGACTTCGGAGTGAAACCTTTATGAATTCTTGCTTTCTAAAGGGAATACACGAGCCACCTTTCGATTCCAACTTAGATAGACATTTCTTATTTTTATATGTCCGTAACTTTTGCATAGGACGTATCCTATCGGGATTTTGATTCTTTTTTCTTCACCCTAATTTTTGCCTAAGACACCCTTTACGGGTTTTCATCCTAGCGGGTTTTTGTCATGCAATGCCTTTATTCTTTAATTGGTTTTGTCTTGTAATTCCCTAGAAGCAAGGATTCATCCATTATTGATCATTCTTCCTATCTCGGCAATTGTCATTTCCGTATGGGAAAGTCTTCGCGTTTGAGTCATCGATTTGGGCGTGTGATGCCCCCAATTACTAATAAGTGTTCCCCGATTAGAAACCAAAGAACAAACCAAAATCAAAGGAAGCTCCACTTGTTGTTTCTTATTTCCCTGTCAACCATTATCCCTCACGCTTGTAGTGGCATCATATGATCAGTGACAATGCTATATATGCTATTATTGCTATATATGCTTCTTGGTGGTGCCCTTTAACCCTTTTCAGGGTCCTTGGTTTACAGAGTTCAAATTTGATGTATTATAATTTGTAAAGAGAAGAACTAGTTTCACATTTTATTATTTCATTTATTGATCTGTTAGCTAGGGTTGTCTTTTTTAAAGAATTTAAGGGTTTATACACCGTTAATTTCATTATATAAAGGGTGTTCTTTCATTGATGCGATGAGAAAATATTCAAATTTTATTTTAAAATTCTTTTGTTGTTCAATAAGTTGAGGAATAAACTCTCCTAGCAAATTTCGCTGTCCGATTCGAAGCTACATGGACAATACAACCATCTGCAAAATTCAAGAGAACAGGAAATGATAGCTTAGACAGAAACAAATTGACTTAGACAGAAACAAATTGTATATGAAATCCTACCCTAAGATCAATTGAATGCATACATTTCCCGCGGGCAGGTTTCGTAACCTAGGTTTTGATTCTCATTAGAGAATGGCAAATTGTAAGTATGAGTCGAAGAAAATAGAACAGATTTAATGCCCTTGGATGATTGAAAACTCACCATGAATGGATTAATCGAGTAGAAAAGAGAAGCTCCTCACGAACAGTAATGATAGAGACGAAGGAGCTTGAACAGTAATATTGCGGTCGTTTAGGTTGATTATTTTGAACTAAAATTGTAAAGGTGAGGGTGAGATGAAGAAGGCGAAGAGAGGATGAACAAACCTTGTCTTCGAGGGGTGCTGAAGCACATGGACGCGCGAAAGCAAAGAGGATGGCGGGTTCGTGAGGCTGAACTAGAAATTGTTTTTTTTCTTTATTTTAAATTGATTTTATAAGTTTTTTTTTTTAATTTCATAAAAGAACTAAGGCACGTATAATTAATTAAATAAAAAATTATTGAACGTTCTGGTGGTTTTAAACCGCCAGAAAGTGTCAACACAGTAACGATTATCATTCCTGCGGTTTAAAACCGCCAGAAAGTGTCAATAATTTGTAGCATTTGTCATCCTTTCTACAAATGTAACATTTTTTGGCGGTTTATGGAAACCGCAAAAAAAAACCGCCAATAACTACCTATTTTTTTGTAGTGTACAAATGACTTATTCTTAAATATCTTCTTAACTTATTATACGGATGAGATAACATATGAGATTCTTGGTGGATGAGACAACCCTACACTCAAGATCTGCACATATCTCTCATGGAATTGGATTGTGGATCGTTGATAGATGGGATAACATTGCAAACTCTGGTGAATAAGACAACAGCACATTATGAGATCTCGCACGAAATTGAACTTCAGACTTTGGGGTATATGGAACTCAACTTCACACTTTGGAAGAATCATGGAATTGAATTTTTTCTTCATCTTTAAAAATTTTCTACATTATCTTATGTATATTTTTCTTTGTTTAGAAGAGTTTTAGAATTACATATTGAAACTCTATTTTTAAAATTATAAATATATATTTTTCTTTATATATTATAAATTGAATAAAAAAATATTTTAAATGTCATTACCTTTCATTTTAATTGTTGGTAGTATTTATTCCTTCACGTTTCAAAATTTGTAATTTCCCTCTTATTTCTCCATAATTTAAATATATCTATTTGTAATTATGAATAAATTTTCATAACTTTTTTTCTCTTTCGGATTGTGCTATTTAGGTGGTGCGAATATCATAAATTACGATGCATTCACTCCTTGTGGTTCATAGGTTTAGTCATATTTTATTACTTAGTCTTTCTCTAATATCTATTATATTTTCTTTTCTTTTAAATTTTTCTAAACTTTTTTCACTAAGTAAGAAATGTTTGGTGTTAAAGAGAGTAGATGATGAGACATCTCAAAAAGTCATGAGAAAAAATTATAAATAATAAAATGTTCAATTATCAATAAATAAATAAAATTATTTGATTTTCATTATTTAATAAATAAATAAAAATTAATAATCAACAATAATTATTAATTATTGCATTTCATTATTACATAATTTTCGAAATTAATTGTTTTTAATTAAATATTTATTAAACTTTAATTTTAAAATATCAGTTACTTAAAACAAATTTTAATACAATTATTATGTTTCATTACGACTTAATTGTATAATATATTTTTTTGTTAATTAAATATTTATTACAAACTTTAAATTTTTTTTTATCATCCACCTTAATATATGATAATGATACATATACTGATATGCATGTCATTAAATTAATTTAAATTAGTTGCTATTTTAGCTGTCAAACAAAAATAAATTAGTTTCTATTTTAAAATAAATTTGAATTTAATAATTAATACAACACCTTAATCATTGGATAAATAAACAATCACTATTTATTTTAATTGTACATTATTATAATATTAGTATCAAAATCAGTATTGCATCATTTAGCAAATCAACAAATGTTAAAAGAAAGTTAATTTTTATTTTTTGCAAATCAAGCATAGAACTTCATGATTCTAATAAGCATAAAACTTAATAATATTTATTGATTTAATTTTCTTATAATTGACAGATCAATCAAATTGAATTCCTTAATTACAAATTAATTATTAATATATAACTATTAATTTTGAAAATTTTAAATTATTAATTACTGATAGCAAATTATAGCAATATCACATATAAATTAAGATTTCTAAATACTAATTACTCAATTCAAATTTTAATATAATTATTATATGTTTTATTGTGGTGCAATTGTCCGAATTGATTATTTATTAATAAGTTATTTATTATAAAATTTTAATTTGATTATAATCCTCTTAAATGTATAATATACCTTATAAAAATATTAAGAATAATTGTTTAATTATACATTATTATTAAATCATTACTATATTAAAATATTAATTAAAATATTTTATATCATTAATATATTAAAATAGTATTTTAGAGAGAAGGGTTCTGGGTCCATGAACTTTATTCTCCCCAAAACTTCTCTGTTTTGATTCATTTTCTTCTCTACATTCCTGATCTCTTCTTTCTTCCCTTGAATTCAAGCTTAGGAGCTTGAATTATCATGGTTGAGAACGTTGTGGTGTTGTTTCTGGGTTGGCGAGTTTCTCCCTTCTCCTCCTTCTCATGGCTATTCTAGGCTTGGATTAAGGTGAAGGAAGCTAGAATGGTTGTAGTTTGATTTTGAGCATGTGATTCTTATGTTCCTTGTTGTTTACGGGGTGGGGGGCAAAATTTTGAAGGATCCAAATTTGGGATTCATGTGTCAAAGGTTCTGGTCGTTTTCATGGTTAGATGCGGAAATTGGATGTTTTGGTCTCATTTGTTGTTACATGTGTTAATTTTGGATATTTTGAAGTGCCCAAAGACTGGTTTCTGTATTCGATGTGGTTGTTTAGTGAAATTGCATGTCTAATTGGTGTTAGAAATTGAAAATGGGCTAGTTTTGTTCAATGATCTATGGGTGTTTTGTTATCATATATATGTAGTGTCAAGTTTGGGTTGCATGTGGGTTTTATTTCAGTTTTTGAGTCTCGTGTTGCGTATATGAGTTGTTTTGGTTTAGGATTTTAGCGAGAAGTTGGATATAAATTTGGGGTGGAAAGGAGTGAGTTTGGAAGTGTTTAAGGCATTTTGATTGCCTTGACGATGGTACACTCTTTTGCTTTCTGGTGTAGGGCATGTTTAAGCTGCACTTTTGTCGTGCCCGTAAATGTGCTTTATTGACAGAATTAGATTTTTTGATCTTCATAAAAGTTGTACCCTTGGATGTTAGTTTTCCAATGCCACCATAATAATTTAAAATGGAGGTCTAGAACTCCAGTTATGATTATTTTAGTGTGTAGATGACAATTTGCCAACGCTGATTATATTTGTTGCATTTTCTAATATTTTTAGCTAAGTAGATGATCATTTCAAAATTTCATGTCTTCATAAGAGTTGTAGCTTATTCTCTTAGATTTCTTTTGAGATAGGTTTGAGGTTATTTGGATGAGTATAATTCTCTACGTGTTGAGGTGTTATCATATGGATTGAAAGGTTGTTTAAGGTTGTATACAATGTCATGTGGTAAAGTTGGTTCATGTACATGCTATATGGTGTAAATGGTGATTGATTCATATATGCTTAAGGATGGTATATATATATATATATATATATGAATGTTTAAACATATTCTAACATGATTTGGTATGCATGTATGTTAATATGAGGATGATGATGAATAGGATGGTGAATTGACCATGTATGTGATGCATTGTTGCATATTATGTCTTATGACATGTGTCTAGCCTAAGAATTGAGAGAAAAAAAAATATTTTGAATCTTGAAGAGCTCACATAGAGTCTCTTGAGAGTGATGCTTAGATAGGCCACTGATTTGAAAACCCTCTTAGAGAGGTAAGTCTCTTGGAGTGGGTTTTGGCTAAGGTGGGTCTCCTCTAAGTCTTTAGCTAGTGTGGGAGTGAGGTAGGAGGTCAAGGGTTCTTCCCTTAACCAAGTACCTAGGAAGGTTGCATGGTTCCTTGCAAATAATCGGTGGGCGAACTTCACAAGTGACTTGATAATGCATATCAAGGTCGTGGTAAGTTTGTACCCAATTGTACTATACTTGACGATGAAACCAGACTTCCATTAGTGTAAGTGACACGATTTGAGTAAATTTTAGAGGGGATTTGATATCCCAGTTTGTTGTGACTGAGCAGGTGCATTGGATATGAAAACGATTAGGATGATTTCGGTAGGATGATATGTCACTTATACTGCTCTGTTGATATGGAGATCTCCTAAGTGAATTTGTGACGACACATTCACTAGTACAGAATATACATATCACGTCGGTCATTTTAGGGGGTTTTACGTCGAAAAAAGATGCGACGTAGAAGCGGGAGACGTAAATTTACGTCGGGGCTCGAAAACCGACGTAAATTTACGTCGGAGATTACAAGGTCCGACGTAAAAAGTTGCAAAAAATTTAAAAAAAAAGAAAAACGACTGCAGGCCTCCATGCAGAACGGGCCGTTCTGCTTGGAGAACGTCCCGTTCTACAAGGAGAACGGGCCGTTCTCCAACCAGAATAACCCGTTCTGCACGGAGAACGGGCCGTTCTCCAAGCAGAACGGCCCGTTCTGGAACCCAGACTTGGCTTTTCTTCTCGCTTTTCCTCCTCCTTATTTCTAGCATCTAAAATCACAAACAGAAAAATGAGAAGACGTAATAAAAACCACACCTCTTGAAGACGTAGCATCTAGATCAACTATCAAGGCACAAAAAGTAATGAAAACAAAAAAAGTAAGTCTAAAAAATTAGAAGGCAGAGGGATGAAGGGAAGCAAGAAGAAGGAAATATGAAAGAACCCTTCACATACTGGAATCGTGGTAGCAAGAAGAAGCGTAGAAGGGAAGCGTAGAAGTAAAGAGAGGGACGAAGGGAGAAGTAGTAAGAAGGAGGCCGGAAACCCTAACCACTAACCCAACGAGCTCTGGAATCGTGAGTTATATGGAGAAATTGACGTCGGACAAGGGGGGTCCGACGTAAATTAGCCAATCTACGTCGGCTACAAAATAGTCCGACGTAAATTGTCTAATTTACGTCGGAACCCCATATGTCTGACGTAAATTTCCCCTCTATATTTACGGAACTACCACCACATTTTTACAACGTCGGCTGTTCCAGTTTCCGACGTAAATGAGGAGACGTAGTAGCCCCTTTTTGCACTAGTGATTAGATGATTAATATGCATTGGTATCTTTCATGTGTTGCATAATTGCATGATTGTGGTTATGATGAAGTGTATGGTACTTAACTTTATGATTGGTGATTTGATG